ATACCGTACACAGCTTTTGGTTAAATCCAATTATTTTCAGGCGCCAAACATGCATAATAAGCAACGAGCAAACTTAGGATTTATATTGAAATTAATATTATTGCATTACAATATTATGTTACCGCATTGTCTCAATAGAAACAAGACTAAAGGATTTAAGATTTAAAGTACTTTGCTTTTTTTTTACCTAGTTTAATATAAATTTATATAATATGCAGCTCTTGTTCCAATTATAATTGTAATTAAATTAACGCACGTAGTCTAAAGTAATCCAAGCTACAAAGTCTAAATGTCTTCTCGGTATCGCAAATAACTGCGATGGTTTTAATGTCCCGTTACTTAGCTAAGTATAATTACAATTATACTTTAGTATTGTATGATATCACGAAAAACTCTTATTTATTGAACAGTCGTCAGCTTATATTATTATCATTGTTATTATTATTATTATTATTATTATTATTATTACTATCATTTATAATAGTAATAATAATAATAATGCAGTATACTGCAATAATAACTAATAAATCATGTAATTTTTAAATCACTTTGGCACACATCTGTAAAGTGTAGACTTGCTAATCGACGACATACAATTTACAATGACTAACTGCACATCTATATACTCATATTCATACTATTTGTATAATATGCTTGCATTTTTATAAAACAATAATTTTAAATAGTAATATACTTGGACCTCTTAAATCTTGTAATTACAACTGTTGAACAATACATATCATATATTATAATATACTTAAAATAGGTATCCTAACATATTGTCTAATACGAAATCACTCCTAATACAAACAATGATGCACGCTTTCATGTCCAACATACCTACCTACGTTAAAATAATATTATATCCATCCATGTCATTTTAGACATCAATCATAACACGTGTGCCATACTATATAATAATATAATGTCAGTCTCTTCATTAAATTATTACTACGTTATATGCATCGTACTATTATTCAGCTACATCCAATTCACCTGTGCTGTATACAGGTATAGGTACTCCATTATTGTCCTCCCCCGCAGTATTCGTCGTATAGGTACTTGTGTACACCAATATCATAATAATATAATAACTGTAATGCACTCATTATACTGCAGTTGACCTTCAAAGTGATAATACAGGTGATAGTGATGTTCATCTGAAGTCAATCGACGCACGCCATACGATTTCTCCGACAGACACGATGTGTAAATGTGTTTTTTCATTATCGTATATTATTCATCATATAATTAAAAAAAAAAAAACGAAGATTTGATCTTACTCAGAGATCATCGTTATGAACTTTAGTCATTGTCACGCAAAACCAACAAAATATGCGTTGAACTTTTTTAAGTTGTGAAAAAGACATTTTAAAATTACCCTTTCTTGTTGATCAATAATTATGAGTTTAAACAGATAGAAAAATTTATATTTAAAATATTTAAAGTTTAAATATTTAAAAACTTATTAAGAAACTTATTACTTATAAAGTTATAAATGATTTCAAAAAGTTATTATAAAACATATTTTAAATGCATCAGAACCAAAATATAACGAAACTATAAAAAATTAATAATTTTAATTTTTAACTATGAAAAAAATAATAGGTACCATAAAATTATAATATATTATGTTGATATTGGTTTAAACAAAAGACCAATATGGCGTGTAACGTACATACATGATAAAATAATGTTTAGTATTTGTACAAAATGTATAATGGACTCGCATATAGGTACATGATTTTGTAAGCTAAAAACGTAATATATAACTGGCTTCTTTCCAATATTCAAAATGTATAATAATATCCAATTTTCCTGGGATTTTATAATAAACATTAAGCAGGTTCTAACGGTGTATTACTATTTTTACTATCCACGAAATGTGCACACAAAACACGTAAACAGCTCAAATACCATTGATAATTTTAGATATCACTACGTATTTTCACACAATTATTATAAATTGTTGTCTGGTAATCGCCAATTCTTTCTAGTGTACAAACTTACAAATTCTATTTATCTAGTATCAAATACATATTTTATACATTGCAGGTGCATTCGGATTTTCAATTTTTGGCCGTCGGTGGGTTGTGTACATATAATATATTATGAATGGGTTTTGCAGTACCTCGCCCTTCTTATACGGGGAAAAAGGTTTATTGATCACATTTCCTATATTTTTTTTAGCAAGTACCTATCTGTACTGACACAGAACGAAAAAACGCAAAAAAAAATGTGATTTTTCGTGGCCACAGTAAATCGTAATCTATAAATAATCACGGATAATATAATAACAGTCTCGATTCCGTGCCGTTGACTTAATACATAAATACGTGATACATATATACATACACGCATGCATATATATTGCATACATACCAACATAGATTCATATGCATAATATATTATACCACGGTGCGGTGGAGTTACGAATCTATCCTGGGAGCAAACAAATATTTTAATAGTTGAACAACCACACATCCCATGTTTCTGAATTATATAGCCGTGGTATCCGTGCTACTATACAGGAACACAATATTATGTGTATATATTATTATATTAGCTGACCATAATTATTATATTGGCATAGTCGCTATTATTATGACGTGCGTGGAGGTGCACACTAACCGCTTCCTATATATAGTGTACCGCCAAATAATATTATATATTCGTTATAGAAATAAAAAAAAAACAGAATGACACGATCACGACTGTGCCTATTTAATCAAACCTGACCCCGTTGTACTCCTCAGTTCTCATAATAATACTTTTCACCTCCATCTTGTATCGTAGTGTTTGGTCATAAAACTGCACGCGTTTATGATCTGGCTGTCTATTCATTATTCAGGTGGTATACATAATTTGAATAATGTAAATACGGATTGATAACCGCAAACGACCGACCAATGATATTATGATCGAGTCCGTACGGTATAAAATATCATAATTTTAATGCCGTATAGAAAATAAATAAAACGCTAAATAAATTTATAATTTATTATTATAATTAATTTATATTTTATTATTATTGAACGAGTTGTAAAATAGTAGGTTTTGGGAGGATAAATATTCCAGTGACTTTTTTTAAAAATATTTATACATAATATTATATTATAATGTTGGTATTTTTATAGAGAGAATAGTGCATTTTTTTTTTTTAAATCTGATAAAATATGAATTATTAATAAATAAAAACAATTCACGATTGTTGATATCAAAATAATTTTTTCCTGATTATAAAAACAATTAACTCTAGTAGGACCGTAGGGGTAAACACTTATAATTTATTAAATCTGCTTTGAGTATAAAGAAATATTTGTATGAATATTAAGGTATTGAATTACCAGTTCAAACATAAAACATTTCCATAAATTATAAATTTATAAACCATACCTATCTAACTTTTTAGGTTTTTTTCATATTTTCTTTTATAATTTAATTAAAAATATGTTTAAACATTTTTTATAAAACATTAATATTTATAAATTGTGTAATTGTCAATTGAAATGTCAATCTATAGGTTTACCAATGTTTTGTATACTATAAACTATTCATCGTGGCCCGTGGGGTTTTTAATATAATCTTAAGTATCAGATAAATTGATAAAATGGTCATTAACTAATTTATGTAGAATTGTTACCTAATAATTAACTTTTTAACTTTATATAAAAGCGAAAATGGAAATCTTTGTAACAGATTGGCTCCGAGACTATTTTCCCAATTGTCATGTATTTTTTTTAATTAAAAAAAACATTATGGAGCGAGTTTTAGCCGTTTTAGGCATATATTTAATTCAATAAAAATAATAATTAGCTATAAATAAAAATAAAAAAGTGGGTCCCCTCACACATTGAGATAGCCGGAAACGAAAAGGCAGACACATCAGCCTTCGAACCCATTACATCTCCATCACAATCCATCCAAATCAACTCTTCTTCCTTATTCGAAATCTTTGGCATAATCCATCGGAAAATAATGGAAGAGTGGCAACTTTTTTGGAAAATCTTCCTCTCACTAACAAACTGAGAAATACAAAATTATTCGTTAAGAAATTAATTTATCCTCCCGGCATAAGAAGAATAGAAGAAGTAACCGTCCCTCGACCCAAAATAGGTCATTCCCGCTTAACCCATGTATATCTAATAAAAAAAAAACCAGCACCAATATGTGATACTTGCAACACAACATTAACGATTGAGCACATCGTCATCACCTGCCCCAAATACACTGAAGCACGCAAGATACTTCAAAATCCTGTTTCTCTCCACCAAGCCTTCAAAATGAGAACATAGCTGCAATCAGTACATTTTTCCATAATATAAACACTAAATCTACATTGTAAATAATGATAATAATGTCATAAAATTCATATTAAATTGTAATGTATACAATATACATACTCTTTTTCTTGGTTAACATTTGATTAAAGTAGGCTCAAAACCTGTGTTGTTGAAGCCTTAATAAACTATAAAAAAAAAAAAAATAACAAATAAAAAAACACATTTATTACAGAGATTTCAACAGAGCAACAAAAATAATCTATTTTTTTTTTTATAAAATAGTCGAGATAGATGAATACCTTACACCGAATATTAAATTGATAACGAATTGAAAAAAATTGAATCATTTATAGTAGGCACTTTTAACGTAGTCAAATTGCGTACCTACCAGGATGGCTGGATTGCACTTACAGCAAGTGGCACTCCATAGGAGACGAACAATCGACATTTTTAAGAGTTGTCTTTTTTTTACGGGCAACGAAGTGCGATCAGCTAGTTTATCTAAAATTCTTAAACAATGTCTTAATGATCAAATTGTATACATATTGAAAAATCAGTTTCATCCCTTATAATGTTTTTGATCTATTTGTTTTAGTCATTATGATCATAATTTGAAAATATACTTTAAACTATTTAAGGGGAGTGTCATACCACCCTGACGCCCCCTCCCCATCGTACACCACTGACCACTACTGATAATAATAATTTTGCTTTTAGGAGGAGAAACGTTTGACGGAGTTTGGTCGATGGTTCAGTCCGCACAACAACAACAACAACAACAATAATAAAAGTGCCGTCGTGTCGTCACGGGACGGACGATGATCGACGGCGGAGGTACAGTGGAAGAACAGCAGGACAGCAGTGGCGATGGCGGCGTTAGTGGACGGGACTCGGCTGTCAATTACAAAACGAGAAAGCGGTCGGTGGACGCGACGGCCACGGTGGTGTACACTATAACGGGCGGTGACGCGAATCAGCTCCAGGACGTGCCACCACCGTCGTGGTCGTCGACGTGTGCGTGTTGCCCGCCGCCTGTCGGATGCGCCGCCGTGCTACAGGGAAACGGGCCGCCGAGGCGTCGGCCACGAACGTGGACGTGTGGCGGTGCGACCGGCGGTGGTGGCGGCGTGTCGAGTCTGACCAGGAGCAGGACGTTCACGAGCAACTACGAACGGGCCATATCGTCGCTGTTGTGGCAGCCGTACGAGTGCCGGTCGTCCAGCAATTCGCTAAACGACGACGGCGACGTGGCCGTCTGGCTCAGCGCCACCGGCCAGTATGCACCGCTGTCCAGCCGTTCGTCGATCAGTCTGTCCACCATACCCAGGTGAAGAACTCGCATAGCGTTATCATCATTGAGAGGACGTTATACCCGCATGTGTTGTCTCCGTCTTCCAAGTGCGTAACATGGCAAATTTTACGCTCAGCAGATCACGGTTATCTCCGTCAAATTAAAATTTAGAGTGAATTAATCTGTTATAAAAATTAAAGGCGAGGTTATTACCGAGAGCATCTCATGGTATTTTTATTATATTTTAATTTTAAAGCGAGTTATGAGTATTCTTAGATATAAAAACAAATTACAATTTTAAAATACTCATAACTAACTTTAAAATTAAAATATAACAAAAAGCCCATGAGATGCTCTCGGTAATAAACTCGGCAATTCACACAAAATTTTAAATTAACGACGATAAACGTGATCTGCTCAACGTAAAATTTGCTATGCTGCGCACTTGTACGACGGAGACAAGTTGTCTCAGACAACACATGCGGTTGCGGCGTCTTAATAGATATTCACGGTTTGCCATTGTCGACTGCTTACGTAACCGGCGTGCAACAATAAAGCCAAGTGTCCAATACAACGTACACCGCGTTAAATAAAAATAATAAATGTTAAAATGATGATTGATAATCCTTATCACAATAATTGTAAACCAAAACTTGAATTGTCTAGTACCGCTGTGTTACCACATGGTGAAAAGTTGAATCAAATTCAATTTTGTGGTATCATTGGTAAACTCGGCATGCTATCAACCACGTGGTTCTGCCAATCAAGTTATGTATGTTATATAAATGCACGGAAAACGCGGTGCACGGTATATTATGGAGGCTCGGCTTAAGACACCGTTTATTATATACCGCGAATCGGCGGTGGTCGGTTGGACAGGAACCGCAGTTGCGAGATAAATAGGTACCGAACGGTCGACCAAATAATAATGATGATAATATTATCGTTTACACCGTCCTGCGCCCACGTGTCTCAGCTGACTATGAGCCATGTGATAAATCAGCTCGCAAATAATATGATACACAATATAGGTAAATAGGTACGGTATAAACGTTACAAATCGGCCGCAAATTCAGCTACCAAATCGACACCATGGTTTCGGTTTTCCCTCAGAAATCGTCACCTGACGCCGCACATTATTATAATGTTATACAATCCATTAAACGCTTTCGCCGAACAATAACTAATAATTACTGAATTACTGTACACGTAAGCGAATGATTAATCTCATCAAGGTATCGACTTATCGGGTCCCACCCCAAACCGTATCTTTGATCAAACTTTGAGCATGGCAGTCGCAAGGGTTTCATCGCTGTTCTCAGACCTGCAATAGATATTATTCTATAATAGGTATATTGAATAATGGTTTCAGGACAACATTGGTCTGCGTTAAATTTTTTTCAATGAAATATTGAACTGTTCTTATTTTTGTATTTATAATTCCCAATTATTTTTCTGTKAGTAGTATATATTTTTAAGCACTCCATTATTATGATGGCATTATACAGTACACAGTCGAAAAAACTAATCATATCACGTTGAATAATTAGCAATAAAAGACATAATAGCTATCAAGGAAAATATTAATTGAGATGCAAAATAAGAATATAAGATATAAAGCGTAATAACCTGTGTCGAATCTATCGCCTTTTTTGTGGGGAACAATTGTCAGTTTGCCATAATATTATAACGATACACTATTCTCGATAGAGTTATAAGTCGATATTTTTGAATATCATAAATTCATAAGGTCAGAATGGGTAGGTAACACATAAATAAAATATAACCATGGCTATAACTATTTTTTTTAAATAAGGTACCATATTCCACCACTGTCCATTTTACTACATCATAAAAAAGAGAAATTTTGCTTCCACTTATTAATTTGAGTGAGACCTGGTTGGTACCTATCATTTTCTGTCGAGGAATATTGGCCATTATATGTGTTATAGTTATATATTCTACGTATAGGAAATAGGTAAACACCATATATGAAATAAATTAAAATTAAAATGCTTTGTAATACGATATATTAAAATTTATTTTTTCATAATGATTAAGAACTATAACAACTTCAAATAAAAAAATATATATAAATATTAAAAACAAACTATCTTCATTTTTTTTTACTCAAATATAGTTAAAGAATAAAGATCAAAAAGGCTGTACCATCATTTAGGGTGTGATATACAAATAAAATTAATAATAATTCCGACATTTTAAAAATGAATAAATATAAAATGATTTTAATATTTGAAAGAATGTAAGAATGGTTCTGTCAAAAAAAAAAAAAAATTAATGTGTGAAGGAAATTAGTCCCACCCAAATAGATTGTCTACTTTAAATTTACTCAGTATAGGTATAGCTGACATAAATCAGGCAATTGCAATACATTCGTCGGAAGTAGGGTTGGAGGAATATAAAGAATGGACATTTTTTTTTTAAATTAACACAACACGAACAGTACACGATACAATATTTTATAAATATTATGTACAATAATTTATATTTTATAGGTACGTATCATGATGAATCATGATAACAGATGATCGTCCCACAAATAACACGCCCGATAACACTGACACGCGATTATCACGGCCATTAGGTTGGTATAGGTATCTTAAATTATTTATAGGCTGCAGGACTTGATGATCAAAATCGTTGAGAAATTAAACCAGTGTGTAACTGCACTGATACATAATATATCTATATAGACGGATTATATTTTACAAAAAAAAATAATAATCTATGATGTACAGGAGTTGGGCACTTGGGCGTATTAGGTGGGCGGGTGTCTTTAAATTTAAAAGCAACGATAAATCGTTGAACTCGAAAAGCCGATTCCGTTGAAAACTATGTACGGCCTGGGTGTTTGTTTGTTTACATTTCTTCGCGATTTTCTTGAAAACTACTGCAGGGCTTATATAATATAATGTGATCTGTCTGAAGTGTAATAACAGTAGTGCTGTATATACCATCACTAGCTGTACCAGCGTATACCGCATTAAACGTTATGAGATTTTTTACTACCAGAAAAAGTGTCTTCCGGAATAAACGTCCTTAAACACTGTGATGCAGGCTTATTTATACATATAGGGACGAAAACGATGTCTCTCGTAAAGTCGTAAGTCCAAGAGTCACAACTCTGAACACAAGTAATACACTGCAGTGGAATTATGTCAACTGCTGTAACGGATAAGTCCTTATACAGCCCCATTTTATTACTACCTATAGGTCTATATAGGACATAGGTATATATGTACTTGAATATTATATTGCTTTTACCGGACTATATGCCTATCTGCTGCTCAAGTTTATAACCACTTCAGAATTGTATGATGATATTGGCGATTTGCATACACAATAATGTTAGATATTGCCTAACCATCTGCAGAAACAGATATTTGCAGATAACAAACATTTTTCACCAACCCAATTCACCGTCGACAGTAATTATGATATTTTGTACGGTTATTTTACCACGCGATTAATTTAGATCCTATAATACTTAAATACAAATAAAACAAGAGAAGCGACGATTATGTTCAATAATAGATTATAGGTATAATATTTTAATTTAAAATCGTCATACACTTTGGTTATTTTGAAATTTACAAATCTATAGGTCATAAACCCATAGTAAATTGCACATATTGACAAAGCTCAAATTTAAGGAGGAAATACACAAGTAGACGGAGCTGATCTGCTATTTATATATATATATAAATCGAGAGCGCCTCTCTTAACTATTTTCATCAGAACGGTAATAATTTTATTAATTTTTTTTTTCATCAAGATCCCATTGAATAGCTATTTAATTGAGATTGTCGGTTTGGTGGGAGGAGGTGCGTCTTCCCTCTCGCGACTGTGTGTCAAATGATTTTATACGCTCATTAAATGGTTAAGCGCGAGCTCTTCCACTTAATTTTTTCCAATTCGATCACTACACGTTTTAATGTATAAATAAAAAATTCATTTAATTCCAAATAACGGTCGTATATAGATAGACATAATAAACTGGCTATCCTTGCAAATCACCAGAAACCTGTGAACAACATAATAGATGACAAAGTGCATATTACCTTGACGTGGCGATAAAACGTAATCCTCTAGAAATGGGCCACGCGGGTTGTCGTACCGGTGCAGACGATAAGGTTTGAATATACGTAGATACAAGCATAACATTAACTGACTCGTTTCGCCGGAATTTCGCAGCACTGCACACAACACTATTATTACGCACGGGCTTGACATCTGTAAGGTTTTTCGGTTCCAGTTTAGGGTTTTAAAATAAAAATTTACAGAAAAAAATATGTCTGACTTCACTTTTGGTGAATGATATGGTGTTATAAATAGTTTTTATGGATTTTTTAATGTGAATAAGGTGTAAGCAAATATATAAAATAAGTGATGACAGTAATTAAAATCTATATAAATAACAGCTAATACTGCAATTTTTACCAAAATGTATAATATAAGCATAATATCGTGCTGTAATCAATATACTAGCAGGGTATACATAATGTATTAACTATTTGAAGTACCTATATAGAATATACATCTTAGAATTTATAAAACCCTAAAAAATCATTAATATCGTCGGGATGGTACTTACTGTTTTCGACGCAAAAACAWCGGTGTTGGAAATTTTGAACGAGAATCTGACGGCGCGTCATACGCGGTGGAGGAAATAGACGACGATGACGGACAGTCTTCAAAGAATCGCCAACGGAAAAATTTCGTGGTTACCCGTTTACAATATTACTGTGGGTATCCGGTAAACGGTAACGACAATGGTCTGGTCGATCGAGTATACCTACCGCATTCACGTCGAAGGCTGATTTCATGCGACGGTCGTTCACAGTAAATTTTAGATTTACCCCTTCACTGGATTTCGCTGACGAGCGTGTTTGCAGCGAACGCGTTCGGAAAGTTGCTGCCAAAACCGGTATCARAATTAATCAGGATTCGGTGGTACGATTTTTCTGTTCAATGAATGATAATATGATTTTTGCATAAAATACATATTATTATAT